TTTTTGAAATAGATGTGATAGTAATCCTTTATGGAACATTAATATAGGAGAACAATAATTTGTTGCATTTTCTTCACACAGAAACAATCGGCTGGGAGATGTGCATAATAATTGTCTTTGTCCTTCATTGTCACAGGCCATTAGCTAATGAATTTAAGCTGTACTTAGCTCTTGCTCCAGTAAGAAAACTACATTAGAGATCTTGTGGCCTTGGCATTATATAAAACCTTTCAGTGGGTTTTATTTTAGTCTTACTGAGGTGATGCTGCCATGGACTCAGGAATGCATCATGGTTTTGCGGTAAGCAATGAGGTCAACATTGCCTGATGTAGCGGCTCAAGCAAGCTGAAGTGCATCTACAGTTATTAAAGCTGCCACATGCCAGAACCCCTTTGTTTGGTTCCTTATAATTTAGCCAAACTTTTTGGGCCTACTTTTGCAATGGCTGCAGGTTCATCTTTCGAGTGGGAAGGTTTGCTAAACTTGGTTCAGCTATTCCGAGATTCATGCTAGGAAAAATAAGTAGATTGGGCAACATTTGAAATAAGCCGTAGGAGCATGTAACTGTAAGCTGAGCAGTTTTACCTTTGCAGTTTGCCCTGTCAACTAAATCACTGGCAAAAGAAAATCCTGTGATAAAGGAAGTGCTCTTCACTGTCCTGAGAAAATCCACTCACATCCTGGCTATCTGCAGGAAAAGAACATATGGAAATGAATGGCAGAATTTGTTTGGCAGTTGTTCCTCCCCCAACAAAATGATTTTGGTTTTCTGGAAAGGGAACTGCGTTAGAAATCACAAAACCTGGAGTGCAGGTCTTTCCTATTGACTGCACCATACCTTGATCCATCACAAACTGCTTGAGTATTTTAATCCTACTTTTAAAGGTGAGTAAGCATTGTTATCCTCTTGCTACAGACAGAACTCAGAGGCTGCACAAGCTAACCTTTGGCAGAGCTGGGAATGGATGCCATTTTCAGACCTTTAATCAAACTGCTTCTCTTACATGTGTCATTGCTGTGCTTGGCTGGGACCCCACTGCTCCTCTCACAGATCAGAAGGACACAGGAGGCCTCTTCCTGCAGCTCCATCTTCCCTCAGCTGTCCTAGGCCAGTTTGCTACACCCACATCTGCATCTCAGGCACTGCAGAGTGAAGCTTCTGAGCCACAGCGCAGGGAAGCAACAGGATTGCAGTCAGCTGCTGCATCCTCAAAAGAGACACTGCTGCTGCCTAGCCATACTGGATGGCACCAGGCCCCCAGCTCTGCTGTCCTTTTTTCCATCTGTGTCACAGCTGGGAAATAACACACCATTCCTACTGCTTCACGGGTTTTACCTACTCCCAGGAAAGACACAACCCATTACTTCATTTGGGTTGCTGCCACAACTGGGCTGCCAGAATGGTGTGAGTAACAGAAAGAGCCAGGGACAAAATCCATACCACTGTGATTCGTGTTGGGCATCTTATCGGTACCAAAAAAAGGACCTGAAACTCCTAGGCATTACTTTGTATCTGAGTTTTGAGCTTACAGGCATCTTAGATTGTAGAATCACACAATCACAGAATGGTTTGGGTTGGAAGGGACCTTAAGGCTCATGCAGCTCCCCCCCCCATGCCACAGGCAGGGACGCCTTCCACTGGAGCAGGTTGCTCCAAGCCCTGTCCAACCTGGCCTTGAACACTGCCAGGGATGGGGCAGCCACAGCTTCTCTGGGCACCCTGTGCCAGCACCTCAGCACCCCTATAGTGAAGAATTTTTCCTGGTATCTGATCTAAATCTATACTTTTTCAGTTCAAAGCCATTCCCCCTTGTCCTGTCACTACATGACCTTGCCAAAAATCCCTCTCCAGATTTCTTGTAGGCCCATTTTAGATCTGGGAGAAGAATGGATGGTGAGTGTGTGACACACGTCTAATACCTGCAGAGACTCTCAGGAGAGCAGTTGTGGCGTAATTCTGTGTCTTTTTAGGGATTATTGTTTCTGCACAAGCTGCAACACCACCGCATTTGAGGGCTGGCTGTGGCGAAACGGTGATCAAGTTTTGTTGTGTCATGTAGAGAGATGGTGCCAGACAGCCGGCAGCACAGGCTATTTAACCTGCAAAGTGGTGTGAGAAACGAGTTGAGACTGCCACTCCTGTTAACATTTGCTTCCTTACCTCTTTTCATCTCCATAACCAGAGCCTGATGTTTCCATGGTCTGTGGACCCCAATACAGTTATACTGTCTGCCTACCCGGGGAAACATTTGAATAGATAATGCAGAAAATGTCCTGAAGGCTGTATCCAAACCCTGAGATGCTTCAGTGTGCAATGAGCAGAATAAGCAGAATAAGTGGCAGAATAAGTGGCTAGGAAACTTTGGCACTCTTAGGAAACTTTGGCACTCTGAGACGTGCAGAGGGCAGGTGCCAGATAGCAATGACCACTGATTTTTCTAAAGCGGCAACACTGACAGAGGTTGGTTCACACCAGAGGTAAATTCAACATGTATGAAAGGACTCTTGTTCTTCTTCAGCAGAGAGTGTAAAGACAGACCATCAGACAAACTAATCTCTCTGACAGTTTTCTCTTCAATGTCATTGAACTGCCATTCCCACAGGGCTTTGCCAGAATGTTTGATATATCCATTGTTTCCCGATACAGACAGATTCTGATAGCCTGGATGATACAGGAATTTTTGCCAGGAAGAGAGGGGCTGAAATGCCTTTACCAGCCTTTTGCTATTGTTGTGTAGGTCCTTTGCTGAGCTCCAAAGTTCTGGTTGGAAATGAAAGGAAGGTATCCTGGTGACTGATTAGGTTGCATCTCATTCCCACCACTTGTCCTGCACTGCAAGCATGATTGATGGGGTTTTGGGATTCTGCTTTTTCTGGAGATAAACACATTTATCCCTCTATATCTTTCATTTCAAAACTAGTGATTCAAGATAGGCACTGCTGTATCACCTAGCTGCAGTTAGAAAGTAGCCCAAACTAGAGATTTCCTTTTTCCTACTCGTCCCTCTACAGACCTGGCAAAGCATTCACTCCTTCTAGGCATGTGTCAAGAGTCAGGACAATTCCTAAAGCTATTCAGAGGGAAAAAAATCTGACTGTCCCTTCCCAAGCCTATGAATGAATGATATCTACATTGAGCAACCTATTCCTTCAGCTGGGGACTCACTGAGGAGTCCGCAATAGGGATAGACAGTCAGTAAGGCTGCATGTCCTCCACAAGCTCCTGCAGAGGAATTTAGCAAATATGAGATTCTTAAGTGGGGCAAACGGGAGGAGCCCAAACCCCACCATCATCTGGCGAAATGAGTCCTACATCCTATTTGTACTGAGATCTAACATTTTTTCCTAACTGTGCTTCAACCACCTACTCCCTAAGTTACCCTGGATATCAGTATCATTGGAGAATTTAGGTAATAACTATGATGTTTGATGTATCCTTTTTGTCCTTAGAAAGAATGGCTTAGGGGTTCTCGGGGCAGCCGGTGAGTGTGTACGGATCTGGAAGGGGCTGAAGAATGGTGGTCCCATTCTGTAGCTTTGGATGGTTGGCTCTCTGTGTTAAGTGAAAGCACCACAGGAATTAGTCAACATTTGCATGTTTTTTTCCCCAGTGCAGGACTGCCAGCAGTATATACAGTAGACAGAGTTTTGGGCTGGTTTATTTGTTAGAGGCGTTTAGTGGTTGATCACCAGACGGATTTCAGCCCACATCCCTGTCAAAGCATATCCACCAGAATGCTCTTTTTGCCATCACAGTACCTATGAGAGGTACCTTTTCTGTGTGATTTGATGCATATTCTGTGAGCAAACTCTCAACCATTTTATGTGGATGAAGTTGAACTCAGTATTGCTGCATGCAAATTTTGGAAGCTAACTGTCCCCATGTTTTCTGACAGTGTGACTTTAATATATATGCAGTTTAAACAGCATGCAGGGGGATTAGTGATAAGGTAATACACTCAGTTAAAAATAACTTGCAACACCATTTAAATCCCTGTGGATTAATCTGGGCATTGAAGAGCCGTTTCCGAGTCTGGAATTGCCTACCTTGGGTGTGATTATTTAGTTTCATTTTCAGATTAACTAGAGATATTTATCAAAACTGGGTGGCCGCTCAGATTTTAAAGATTGAGCAGGAAACTTTGCAGTCATTTTTACAACACAATTAATAATCGGTTGTTCTTTCGAAACTGATTCTCTCCACACCACCTCACACCTGCCCAACACCACAACCAAAGTCTGCAAACACTTGTCCACTTGCATGTCTTGCATAGAATAATAGAATCATCAAGGTTGGAAAAGACCTTTAAGATGATCATGTCCAACAGTCACCCCAGGACTGCCAAGGCCACTGCTAAACCATGTCACTGAGAGACTCATCTACATGGTTTTTGAACACTTCCGGGGATGGTGACTCCACCACTGCCCTGGGCAGCCTGTTCCAATACCTGACAACCCTCTCTCTGAAGACATTTTTCCTAATATCCAATCAACTCCCCCCCCCGGTGCAGCTTGAGGCCATTACCTCTTGTCCTATGCCTTGTTACCTGGGGAAAGAGACCAGGTCCATGGGGCTCATTTTCATCAGCTGCAAATTTGCTACCTATAAATCTGCAGGTTGAAGGCCACACCACATACATGTATTTCCACTCTGTGCTTTGAGATTCTTTTCATCAAGTGCTAATGTATGATGTTTTGGATTCTGGTTGTACAAGTTGTTAGATACGAATTTCCTCAGTCTGGTAAGAGCACTGGTTTGCATAATATATTGTCTTACTACATCTGCAAGGTAATTGCTTCTAGACAGGCTTCCAAGAAGGCCCCAGATTTGATCTATGATGATACGTGCATTGCTAATGTCTGTACTCTAAGGAAGCGTGTCTCTGTTACTGATGTACTGCATGGATGAATGATGGTGTAGGTCCAAAGTTAACCAGGCGTTCTCTTTAAAGGCGACATATGATATGATATCTGCGCAAAGAAGTATTTCCTGCATAATCTTTAGAGGCAGCTGTATTACCTTTTACGATTTCCCTGGCATTTATGCAGAGTTACAGAAATACAGTTAGAAGGCTTTACATTTTTCCAGTTCAGTATTCTGATTGCATGTCCAGCTACTCCTTTCCTAATAAACAGGATCTCAGTAGAAAAACATGTATGGGCTGTACAACATTCACTCCTTAACCTTCCCACCTTTGAATCTGCAGTTTCCTTAGATGCCTCCATGAAGCAGCTATATCTGGTTAATCAGAGAACTGACATATCCAGTGCCACGTAGAATGGGTGTGTGTATGGGAGCTAGGAAGCAGGTCTTCCTCTGAACTTGCTCCATCTCTTATTTTCTTCCACAGCTCTCAGAAGATGATCTTTCTGTTCTTAACCTCTGCGGAAAAAGTCTTGCTTTCTCACTTGTGCTGCCATACCTGTCTGAGATGCTTTTTCCCAATCCTAGCCATCGGTTGCACCCTGTCTTCATCTTGTCTAAAGTTTGGTCCTTTCAGCTGTCTCTACAGAGTGTTGGTGGTAGGTTATGAGAAAGTATATAACCTGTAACAAAGTTATTAAAAAAGTATATATGAAAAAATAAGGCCATGCTTGAAGTGGAAAATAACTGTAGAAAAGAAGGGAAAAAGAAAATGACAATGAGAAAGTGAACAGTTTCAGAGAAAAAGGTCATTGTTTATAAAAGGCATCCTAAATTAACAGCTGGATTATTTGATAAGAAAGAATCATTTAGGTTGGAAAAGACCCTTAAGATCTTCGAGTCCAACTGTTAACTAAACACTGCCAAGTCCACCACTAAACCATGTGACCGAAGTGTCATCTACACTTGAGGCCATTACCTCTTGTCCTACCGCTTGTTACTCAAGAGAAGAGACCGACCCCCACCTCACTACAACCTCCTTTCAGGCAGTTGGAGCGAGTGACAAGGTCCCCCCTGAGCCTTCTCTTCTCTAGACTAAACACCCCCAGGTCCCTCAGCCTCATCACACCTGTGCTCCAGACCCTTCACCAGCTTTGTTGCCCTTCTCTGGACCTGCTCCAGCACCTCTATGTCTTTCTGTAGTGAGGGGCCCAGAACTGAACACAGGATTCAAGTGCAGCCTCACCAGTGCCCAGTACAGGGCGATGATCACTGCTCTGGCCATGCTGCCACACTCTCTGCTGTTTATTTTAAAAAGAGAAGAACAAAGGCATTCTTTACCTCATTAGCGCTGCAGGATGTCCTATACAAGCATAATTATACTTTGCAAAAAGGCTGGGGAGACCACACAGGAAGGGTATTGAAGAACTGGAAAAGGTACAGGAGGCACTAAGCATGATAAAAGATCGAAAGTGGTTATTTATGGAAAAAGTACAGGCTGCTGCTTTTTATATTGCCTTTTTTTTTTTTTCCTTTTTTAAAAAGAAGACAAAAACTGGGGCCACTAAGAGATGTGCACAATTCACAAGGATATTGAAAGGTTAATGATGAAACTCATTCAGACCATTGCAAGCTGACTAACAAGCGAGCTGATAATAAACTTGGAGAAAGCAGTTCTAATCCAAAGGTTTATGGTACAGAACAGGGCAATGCTGTCCACAGTGCATGGGCCTCCATCATCAATACCCCATCTTTTGTCTTGCCTCCACAGGCTGAACTGCAATGTGGCTTCTGCATGTCAGGAATGTGACTCCTGTCCTTGACCTCGTCTTCAGATAAATACAACATGCTCCTTACTGCTGAGTGGTTTGGGAAGAATTTCAGCCAAACGAAGAAGAGGAGATAAAGGAAAGACAGGTGAGGATGATTTTCATCCACTCTTCGAACCAGCCTGCTTGACTTTGCCTGTAAGACAGGGCAGTGGGGTTAAGAGGGGCAGGGCAGGGAGTAGCTAGTGCCTGTGGGGTTACATAATAAAGCTGGGGTGCAAAGCAGTGCTAACAGGAAGGGGCCACCCAGGGAATGGGCCTTCTGGGTACCCTATCTGGCACAGAGCCTGGAGGCTGAAGCACAGCAGGGTCTCACCACATACAAGTGTGGGCTCCAGCCATAGCAGGAGAATGGCTGGCTAGAGCATTCATAGAAAGAGGTGCTGGTGAGTTAACCCAGCCCCTGTCTCTGCAGATTATCCTTGGCAGCAGAGCTTGTGTGAGCCTGGCCTCTGGAGGCAGGCTGAGGATGAGGTTTACCAGGGTGGGTGCCTGTACACAGCTCAGTGCCTTGGGCTGAGACCTGGCCTGGGCTAGGAACACTGCATATGTGAGCTGGTCAGTAGGTAAGTACCAGGCTATCTGGCCTGCTTTGGCCCTGCCAGAATGCTAACAAAATGCGAGACCAACAGAGCACATCCTAAAATCCACTTATTTTGCTGGTAAAGCAAGAACAAATTGTGATTTTTTTATGCCTGGTGCTTTAAATGCAGCTGGGAATATTGCTGAAATTATATGCTTTTGTTACAGGCTGTGATAGTAACTGGGCTATCTAATTCTGCAATGTGGGAATTGCCTTTCCTCAGCTGCAAGTCTCAAAGTCTTTCATTGCACAAATAAAACAGGGTATTCCACCCTTCCCCCCTTCCCTTATCATCAATATCTAGCAGAGAGAATATTCAGAACATTTTTCCCTCCAAAACAGAACAGTTATTGGGTGTCGGCACATCATGTGAAAAGACAGCTGAGTGGAAAATCAGCAACACACAAGAAACAAAAGAAGGGAGGATTAAAACCCATGTTTTGTTGCTGCATGCATTTTTATTGTTATGTATGTGTATGTATATATTTATTTACTGTTGGGTTGTTAAACAAAAAGAGCAGACAAGTGTGCTGTCGTAGAACTTGGTGAACATTACTGGCTAGAGAGCTGAATTTTATGGCGTCACACATCAGTCAGTAATGTCTTGGGGACCAGGAGGATGGTACTTTATGCAGATCTACTGAGGTCAGTGCAAATTCTCCACTACCTTCATTAACATAGGATCCAACTTTTGATGTGATTTAGACAATACAAGAAGGTTTAAAATGTAAGCAGGTGAGGGTAGCCTCATGCACATCGCCCATTGCCTCAAAAAGCTGAGGCAAAAAACTCAAAAATTGCTCTTGCAAATTTGACAGAATCTAATTAGTTGATCTCCTGAGTGACATTTCTGCAGGCTCATACACAGAAGGGCAGGGAAACTGAGATTTATAATGATAGCTATTTCTAGCAAAGGTCATTTCTTTATTGGTGAACATGTCCTTAGTCATGCTGATGACAAGGCACTGAAGGATAAGGGATAGGCTGTGTATCTTTAAAGCTTGACAGGAAATAACATAAATAGAGCATAGATCATCTTTCTAGTTGGACCAGGAGGCTTGCAATCTACCACCATCAAGCCAAAGCAGGTGTTAAAATCCAGGAAGAAAATAAATATTGGGATTTCTGGTGAGATTGTGAGGGAGGCTGGATATTTCAGTGTCACCATGGAGCAAGGGGGAAGAGAAGCAACAGAGCACAAGTATGTATTTTTGGATAGTAAGGGTGTCCTGGTGGAACCAGCTGCTTATAAAGAACCGGGTCAGGCTGCTCTGGGGAGTCCCTGGTCGGCCTCGCCAACTTCCCAATGTAAGCAGCTCTCAGCTGCTCTCCCGCTCCATGCCATTTCCAGAATGACACACGTGAAAATGTACTCAAATGTATACAGTACCCTTCCTCACCTGTCCTTCCTTATGGAAGGAAGCAGCAGTTCTGACAAGAATACAGTTTAAGTAGACTGAATCATATATATCTTTAAATAACAAAACAGTATCTGCCTATTCAGCACATGACTCTTTTTCCTGCTCACGAGTGAGGTCTCTGACACTGTACAAAAATGATGCATAATGTTTTCATAGTCAGGAGGACCCTTGTGGCATCACATGAGAGTTGTTCACCCAGCTATAAAAAGTATTGGGCACTTTGGTGTAACTACCTTTGCTTGTTTCCACCATCAAGCTCATAATATTGGATGAAGTAAAAAAATGTGACTGTTTCCCTAGATTTTGGCTCAGATCCTGAACCGCGCTGCATAGCTGAGCTATGGTTTCTGCTGGATCACCAGCACGTATCAGGCTTATGGCTGGCAGGATCACTGAAAAGATCTTTTCAGTGTGGCAATGAAGTCAATGCAGGAGTTCCGTGCTGTGCTCTGAGCAGAGGAAGGGGAATGGGGTTCTTCACCCATACCTTTGCTAATCCCTTTCGCTGATTATTGGTTCCTTTGGGCTGTGAGAAGCCAACAGAAGTCACAAGGGCTATTGAGTTGGTCTGGTCTAGGACCCAGTCCAGTAACCTGAGAATGCTGAGGTGGCCTCTAGCTTCTAATCTGCAGCTGCAGATCTTGCTCTTCTTTCCAGAATAATTGCTCATGCTCTTTGAAATGTCCTAAAGCTTCCCCAAAATTGTTAGAGCTGAGGATTACTACTCTTAAAACCTGTAAAATAAATAGACAATCTGTAGGATAACTGCCTGTGTTACAAGTCTCCCCACACAATGAAGGAAGAAGCAGCCTTATGCTGTGTACTTCTTAGGCCTGGTGTAACTTGAAGGAAAGAAGTGGAAAATGTTAATAAGTAATGATGTTTGAAACACAAGTCACTGAACCAACCACCAGACCTTCTGCGTTTATTCCACAGGATAGAAAATGTCTCTCTCATTCAAGGAAAAAAGGTCTTGGCCAAAGATATGTCTTAGGAATTAGCCTGGATGCTGTATGGTATTCAGAAGATAAATCAGAGCAGCTTACAGGTCAACTCCTTTAGTATATACGGAATAGACATCTTTTGAAACAAAATCAGTACAACTGACTCTTGGTATTTCCCTGGTATGAGTAACCAAGGAGCTCCTCAGGGCCACTGGAATTTTAAATGACTTGTTTGATACACCTTACAGCTGCCAGATTTCCGTCTGGTATTTTCCAAGTCAGAACCAAGCATATGTGTGCTCCAGACCACGTGTTCTGACGTGTTCTGGAAATCCTGGCCTCGTTTCCCACATCCTAAGCAGGTGATCTGCTCTTACAAAACCCAGTAATGCCTCCCTCTGTGTGTGCAGACCAGCTGTAAAACTGGGACAGAAATCTTAGGCAAATGTGTAAAAATCTTCAAATTGTAACTTCAAAAATATGCAGGAAAAGAGAACATTTCCGAGAAAATCTGTGTAAGTACAACTGTCTTTCACATTCCAGTGTAATGCTTTAAGAAGGAAAATCACTGCCTCTTCCAGGACAGCTCCAAATAGGTAGAAAATTCATGCCCTCTGGCAGCTCGGATAAGTAAATCTGTCCTGAGAGAAGGCAAAGGAATGAAGACTAGCACATTATAAGCAAGGAGCTGACCTTTTTAATAGCTCAAATATTCCCCCTCTCCAAAGTCGCTTAGTTCAGCTTAGGCCTGTGGCCATCCACACAGTCGTTTTTTCTCTCATTTCACTCCAGCCACTGAATGCTGGCAGCCTCTGTGATACGGCAGCACAGAGAGAGGCAGCTTAGGGAAGAGGAGGAAAAGACAGGGATAAAGGGCTTCCCAGTCCATAGGTCAGGCTTGGCCTCTGTTTGGTTTGTCATGAGAAAGAAGAGAGGACTGCAAAGCCCCGGGGCTTCAATTTCACAGCTGCTCTCAGACCTCCACTGCATTACCTTTCTTATTTCCCCGTGCTTCCACTTGATAGCTGGCTTAGTTTCTTACTTGGCTGGCTGATAGGTTCAGGATTAGCTCCCACACGACGTTATCCTGACTCCAGAATCAACTTGTTGGCAACAGTGCTTTGGGACCTGTGACTTAAAAGGGGGCTTTGGAAGGCAAATGGGCAGGAAGCAGTGTGGTGTTTCGTCTCTGAACTGGAATAAACTCCCATTTCACCTTAGATTAAAGCTGGAATCTAACACCGAGGGCTTGTATCTGGCACCACACTGGGAGAAGCGGCAGCCAGGAGAGCAGGGAATTCCCACAGGGATCACCCCCTCACGGCTCCCTTCGACGCTGCAGATACATCTACATCAAACTGCACCTAACAGCCAAACCCCAGTGTTGGGTGAAGCCCACAGAGCACATAACCGAGGGAAATCAGCAAAGAATCCCCTGCCCGCGTTACCTAATTCCGCCTTTCGTTTCCATCGACCCCCACAAGGACTCCAGCGCAGAGGACCGGATCGCGCTGCGCCGACACCTCCTGAGGGACGGCCCCGCTGCCGGTACCGTCCCCCGCGGTGATTTTCCCTCCCCTCCCACCGCCTCTGCGCGCCCCCGCGGCCGCTCCCTCCCGTCAGCCTCCCGCGCCGACCTGACAGGCGGCGGCCGAGGCTCCCTCCCGGCCCGGGCTCCGCGCCCTCCTTCCGCCACCCGCAGCCCTCAGACGGCGGCACCGGGTCCCGAAGGCCGCGGCCAGCCGCCGCGGGGCCACGCCCCTCCCCTGACAGCCTGCTCCTGGCGCCACGCCCACCCTCGGCTTTCGGATGCCAATCACCGGACACTTTCGTATTGACGGACAGCCTCGTCCACCTATCGAATAGCTCCTCCTTTCAAGAAACCCCGCCTCCTAGAGCGCTGCCACCAATCACAAAAGAGATGCAGTCAGGGGCGGGAGAAGAGCGTCTGTGAGCTCCGTCTGCTCGCACTGCCTCCCTCTCTCCGCTGCGCGAGGATCGCCGCTTTCGCCCGCAGGTGATTGACAGGGGGCGGTAGCCAATAGGCTCTGGGAAGCGGGTGTCGCAGCCAATGGCGTAGCGGGGGCGGGCTCAGCCGGGCGGCGGGGGCGGGGGGAGCGGCGGGCTGGGGTGAGGCGCGGCGCGGCGCCGGGAGGAGGGCGATGGTGGTGGCTGCGTGAGGCGCGGCGGGACTCGCGCAGGCTGCCTCGCCTTCGGGGTGAGGCGAGGAGAGCAGGAGCGGAGTGTGCCCTGTGCTCGTCATGAGGCTGCAGGAGGACGGGGACAGCCGCAGGGCGCTGCCGCCGGCGGGGCTGCCGCAGTAATGGGCAGCGGCAACGCTGACTGTCGCCTGCCGTGTGGTGCTAGCGCCCGCCCGGCGGGGACCGCCCGTGAGGAGCCGGGCAGGTGAGTGCAGCGGCGCTGCCCTGTGTCTCGTCCCCTCCCGCTCCCCGAGCCGTCCCTCTTTCCCCCCTCCCTTGCTCCTTGCCGTTGGCGTTTTAGCGTTTAAAACGGTAACGGCTGCGGGGGGCGCTGCCCCACGGGCTGGGCGCTGAAGTGACGGGCTGGTGGGGCGGGACGGGGCGCGGGGACGGTCCCCCCTCCCTCAACGGGACATTCCTGGAGCCAGGTTGCCTCCTTGCCAGCCTTGATGCCATCCTGCCCGGCCTCCTCGCCAGGTGCCGACATCGTTTGCTTCCCCACGTTCCCAGTGAAGAGGCTTTTTCCTTCACACCCAGCAGAGATGTTGATTTCCTATGGAGGGAGAAGACCTGTCTGGGTTTCTTCCTTTTTGCCTCCCTGGTGAGGGTTTCTCAGTTCAGGATGGAGAGGCATTTCCATTTCAGTATGATGCAGCGAGGGCTCAAGAAATGCCCCTTCATCTTTCATCCTCCTCCTCACCTTGGCACAGGCATTTAAGTAGTAGCACTTCTATGTCGGCTTCTTTTTCTATTCCTTCTCCTTGGAAGGAGAAATGGGAGCAGGAGGTGTGCGTGTGTGTGAGAGGAAACAACTGTTACACCTTTTGTCATCAAGACAAAGAACTTGCTTTCATCTCCCTGTGTCCCTCCCTCTGGGTGCACATTGGCAGCACCTCAGCCACTTCGCATTGCTTCCTGGAGATGCTACATAAGGATTCGGTGTGGCCCTGACCTGCCCTTTTTTGTTGTTGTTGCCAGTTATGATGGTGCTGATAAAAGGACATGTTGATATGTTTCCAAACAGACTCGTGGTTTGCATTCCTGAAATTGCTGCAGCATTCTTATTTATTTATTTAATTGGAGGGAGGGGGGATGACAGCAGGAAGGGGGTATGTTTTTGTGGTCTATTGTGGTTGCTTGAAAGGTTCAAGATCACGTGCAATTGCAGCACTGTAGTCTGGGGTATATTAACCAATGCTTTATCCCCTCTGCTCTATCTGTCTTCCAGTCCTGCAGTCTCCACATCATCTACTGTGTGAAGAATGATGATTCTGTGAGAGAACTTCCTTTCAGTTACCTATCCACTCCTTCTGCATGCTGCTCCTGTCCAGTGATGAGCCACTCAGCTAGACTGGGATTTACCGTGAAGAAGGGAGAGGCAGAATATGAATTGTAGACATCCCATCAACTTCCTCATGCACTGTTTTTTTTACTGCGTCTGTATATAAGTCTGCTGGTATCGAACACACACACTCTTCAACCTACACTGCTATTAGCAGAGTTGCTACTGTGTGAGAGGACTGGTATTTCTCACCATCATGGCTTCAGTTTGGAAAAGACTGCAGCGTGTTGGGAAACATGCTTCCAAGTTCCAGTTTGTGGCCTCTTACCAGGAGCTGATGGTCGAGTGCACCAAAAAATGGTAAGAAGCACTCGTGTTGCTGCACGAATGAGTGGAGTAAGCTGGTGGTGCTGAAATAGGAAGGATGTTGCTCATTTTGTACTGTTTGGTGTGCATGCACTTGACTTCTCCCCGTGCTTTCTTTTGCCTGAAGCAGCAGCGTGAGGTGCTTGTCTTGATGAGTGCTTGTTTTGCTGTGCATTTATCTTGGACCTGTTGGTTTTGTTCTGTACACTGATTTTTCTAAGCTGGTATTGTTTTTGTCATGCAGAGGACAGTGCATTTATTAGCTTGGTATGTGTGACTTGATGGTGTGGTTTTGGTTTTGGGTTTTGGTGGTTTTAGTTTTTGATATTTTTGTTTAATTAAATATTTCCTGTGAGCTGTTCCAGCTTCCAGCTCAACTTTTGGTGCTGAGCGTTATCTGCTGACACTGTGGTTACCTTACTGAGGCGTTTGAGATGAGTCCTGGAAGATGGTGATGTGTTAATCTGGAGTGGATCCCCGTTTCAGTTTTGACTTTTGCATCTGCTGATGCTTTGTCTTTCCTTCTTTTCCTTGTTCCTTTCCACATTTTAATGGGAAGAGGCAAGAGACAGATCCCTGGGAATTCTTTTAAGGTATTTTAGATGATAATTTTGTGCAGTGGTGGTCCAGTTGGATGGCTTTGGAGCTGACTAGACAGCAGTTAACAGTTAATGGTATGGATCTGGCGCGTCTTCCTTCCTGTGTGGAATAAGCTTAAATAAATCTGCTAGGGAAGACTAGAAGCAGCTTTTAAATAGTCAGGTAAAGATCTCCATTATACAAATACTTAAGTGCTGTTTTATATGTTTGGAATATTGACATTACTGACATAATTCCTCACATTAGTGAGAGTCTGTAGTGTCAGGGGATGAAGAAAGTACTTTCCAGACCTCGTGGACAGAGATGTTCAAATTGCCTTGTAATAAACTGCAGCCTCCTTTCTAATACTTGGCCTTTCTTCTTGTTGGCAAGTTTGGCACTTGCATTGGCTGCTTGCACTGGTTATGAGTAATTGCCTCTACAAATTTAAATTCTATGTCTTGGAGTTGGAAATCTCTGTCAAATATGCTGGGAGGCTGCTTGTTGCTCTGTCTTAAAGGAACACTTTCAGGTTATTTTTTCTGTAACAAGTTGTCTTCTTGCCTAAAATGTTTTGAAAGGTTAGTAAGAAGAGAATTGTTTTGGAAATTGAACTTGGATTCACAGAATAAACTACAAATAAAATGGTTTTAACAGTTGAAAGAGACTGTCATGATTATCTCATGCAATCTGCTCTCTATTTCAGGCCAAAGAGTTCTCCATGGTAATTTTGATTTATCAGATTCAATTTAGCAGTTGTGATTATTACTTTTAATGCTTTGTTTGCATAAAGTAGCCTGTTTTGGCTTTCATTTTCACTTTGATTTACTCCTTGCATGAGAATTTGCAGAATGCTTCAGCACTGAAGTGTGAATGCTGCAGGGAAATGTTCAGATTGGATCTGCAGCTGACTTTCACTTGATTTAAGAAGAATTCACACACAAAAGTTCTCTTGTGAACAATCTTGTTATTTTAGAAGCAATTAGCTTATTGTTTAATCATAAACTAGAGTGCCCACCTAGCAAAATGCCTCTGTGTGAAGTAGTGAAACAGCCTTTCAAAATCAGGTATGCAGCTGAGTTTTTTAAAATAAGTTGTCTTTCTGAACCTTCATTTTGTGGTTTTGAACTTAAAGGCAAGATCAGTGCTTGTGTTGGTTATGATGGAGCAACAGTATAGTGGTGAAATGTGAATGAATTCTAGGAAAAATAACAATAGGGAAAAACATCATTCATGCAGTCATTTGATTGTAGCTTTTCTATTCTGCTTCCTCTTGTTTGGAGAACCTTAACAAAAGTGCTCTTTAAGCATGCAGGCTAAAATACGATATTTCTGCCATAAGTTAAATTCCTCTATGAAACAAAAGAGTAAGTCTATAAATATTTTGGGAATCTTCAACTCAATCTTTCCTTAACTTTGGAGAAAATACAGTTTTGCACGTCCTGACAAAATAATTTCTTCCTCTGTTTCTAAAGCTTGACTCTTGAGCTTGGCCCATGTGAGAAAAGGAAGAAATGAACTCCATATGCTGTTCCTGCTGAAAGCACTCAATATATATTAAGTGTCAGCGCTGTAGTGTGTAGCTTGTTTGATTGAAATGTAGTAAGCAGTAAGTTATTTTAATGTGCTGGCATTTTAACAATGCAGTGTTTCTGGAGGAAAAGAATGCTCCATTCATATTTTAAAATAAATGACAATGCAGTCATAAACACACTTGAACTGAGATGTGTTGTGAGCAGGGATTGTGCATGACCAAAGCAGGTTGGATGCCTGCCTGTGAGCTGCTATCTTCTGTTGGGTTTGTGTTTGTCTAACTCTTCAGAAAATGACTTGTGTTTTAGAGTATTTTTGTAAGTGATTGCATGAGGTTTGCGATCTTTGGTGTATTTCTGGTTGGCTTTAATACTTTTTGTCTCCTCTGGACATGTATTGATTTGAATAGCTTAGTGTTTGAAATAACTTCTGCTCTTTTTTTCTGGAGTTATGCTGGCTGTGTGGGAAGTCTCTACCAATCTGGTGTTGTTGCTTCAGTATTTAAAAGGATTATCTCTAGGTACAGGAGCATTTGTCCAGCAAAAAAACCCCACTCCCTTTCGTTGCTTTTTCTGCTCCCTGTAATTTCTGATTCATTTTCCTGCTGATGATTAGAGGCAGCTGCTCTCAGATGATCGCTTTTCATCAGTGCTGTATTTGAGGGGTGACAGGTTGTGATGGAATGTCCAGTGTTGTCCACTGTTTCATTAGAAAAAAACTTTATTTTCAGGTGATTAACAGGACTGAGTCACTTCTGTGTCATTCTGGCTGCTCCTGCTGACCCAGACCTGATTATTGTATGAAGACAGGCTGAGAAAGTTGGGGCTGTTCAGCCTGGAGAAGAGAAGGCTGCATGGAGACCTCATAGCAGCCTTCCAGTATCTGAAGGGGGCCTATAAGGATGCTGGGGAGGGACTCTTCATTAGGGACTGTAGTGATAGGACAAGGGGAAACGGGTTAAAACTTGAACAGGGGAAGTTTAGATAGGATATAAGGAGGAAGTTTTTACTGTAAGGGTGGTGAGGCACTGGAACGGGTTGCCCAGAGAGGTTGTGAATGCTCCATTTCTGGCGGTGTTCAGGGACAGGTTGGACAGAGCCTTGGGTGACATGGTTTAGTGTGAGGTGTCCCTGTCCAACGCAGGCGGGTTGGAACTTGATGATCTTCAGGTTGTTTCCAACCCTAACTATTCTATGATTCTGTGATTGTGAATGCTTGATACCTTTGAAAAGTTGAGCACTTTGTTTATTTAGAGCCTTTCATTAAAAATAAATAAATAAATGCAGTCTTGGTCTTTATGGATTATTGACTCCTGCTACTGCGAAAACGTCATGCTTTCATTAATCATGTAAGCACTTGTTTGTTTTTTTCAAAGGCAGTGCTGGAGTGTGTCATCCTCCACTTACCCTTGGAATAAGCTGGAACAGCCCAGGATTTTCCACCCCCCCCACCAGTGAGCTGCAGTCCTGGCCTGGAAGGACTGTGCATGGCAGAAGAGAGTTAATTTAGTCGCTATCCTAAGTGCAGAACCGCTGAATAAAACCAGGAATCGGCCTCATGTGTTTTGCTTAGGCTTCTACGATAAAAGTTGTATTTGCTGCTTTGTGCTGTCAGAGCAGGCTGTTGCTGTGTGGGATAGGAGCGTGCTGGGCATTGCTGGCATGTGTTGATGCTGTGACTTACACAGGGGATCCAGTTCAGTTGCCTGAACACTGGTGTCTAGCACTGTTTGAGATGCCTTTGGGTTTCCTGCCAGTGCAAGCTGCCAGTTTGGAGAAGCCCAGGTCTCCTGTTGATCCTGTGTCAAGCCTGCCAGGCTGGCATGCATCTCTTGTGTACCCTGGGGCTTCTCAGCTGCTGGAGGCCTCTGTTCAGGCAACTGAGGAAAGGCTTGTCTGAGGCACAGGCTTAGCAGAGGAGCATCACAGGATGAAAATACTCCTTTGGACAAAAGATCAGTTCCAATACTTGGACCTGAAGCTGTGATAGCTGTTTTACAGAGTTGCTGAAGCATCTAATGCTGAGCACATGGAGCTCTATAGGATGGCTTTTATGTTTCCTTATTTTTGTGTGGTATCTCATGAGTCAAGGACTCAGTAGAGGCTTCAAGTATAATATTCACTGATTTTCACAGAAAATGGCCTAACTTACTGAGCTGAGGATGCCAAGTTCTTAATATGTCATTGTCCATTGGTTGCTTTTATGAGCAAGAAAGCTCACCTGAACATTGGTGCTAACTGCTTAAAATGCTGGAGAAGAGTAAGCATAAGGAGGCTTCTGTACAGGATTTTCCATTCAGGGGTGCTTGAGAGATAAAGAAATAGGTTATTTATTGTTTTTCTTTTTTTTTTTATTTTTTTTTACAATGTTTGTAATATCCATCATCTCCTACATGACCTGCTTTGCTTTTAAATCCTGCCTAAAAATACAGCAAACCATGATGTTCTAAGAGGGTTAAACTCGTATGCTTCCTCAACTGAAGACAGGCTTCATTTCCATGAGGCAGGTTGCCTCATTTTGTGTCAAATTAGGTATGGTCTGAGGTAGGTTCTGTATTTTCAAATGTCTTTCTCTTTTGGAAATGAAGTAATGCTTAATCTTTCTTTTTGCTTTTTTTTTTGGTGTTTTTTTTTTTTCCTCCCAGAAAGCTTTAGCCATCTGTTTTTCTCTTTTATTGTAGCTTCATAGCTGGATGCTGCAGGAATTTTAAGATTTGGCATGCATTGTGCATGGGAGAGATGAGCTTTTTGAGATTCCACGGTTCACACCAGTCTGCTCGCCTTCTGCTCTGTGCTTTCTAACAAACTCTTCAGTGCTGAAGGCCTCGGAGAGAACTGGAGTTAACTGCTTGCTGTAGAAATCCTTGGGGGATGCCCGTACGG